AGGAGAAAACAGAGTTTACGTTTCGGGTCCGGTTCTGAGGAAGGGTCACTGGACCCGAAACATTAACTCTGTTTTCTCCTTCACAGATGCTGCCAGACCTGCTGAGCTTCTCCAGCAACTTTGTTTTTGTTCCTGAGTTATACAAAACTGAGCAAATTAGCCGCTGGTTGAAGCATGAGCCAACAACAGCCCCGAGTTACTTTGTAAAGCTGAGAAAGACATCCTGTTCCCTTTGATTCTATGCAAAACAAAAGGAAGTTCTTAAACTTTTGAAATCTTCTCAAGTGGCCTCTTAAATTCCCTTCAAGAACATCTGGTCTGGTTGCTGAATGCCCATAAACACCAACATTACAGCTCTGATGGGTCAATCCAATTTTTTTTATTCATTCATGGGACATTGGTGTTGCTGGTTGGTGGAGCCTTTATTGCTCAGTCCTATTTGCCCATGAGAATATTTGCCATTGATAAGCTGCCTTCTTGAACATGTGCTATAGGTAGACCCATAATGCTGTATTTTGACTCAGTGTCAGTGTAGGAATGGTGATATAATTGCAATCAGGATGTTGAGTGGCTTGGCAGGGGACTTGCAGGTGATGATGTTCCCAAGTAACTGCTGCCATTGTTCTTCTAGATGGAAGTAGTCATGGCTTTGGAAGGTGCTCCCTAAGGATCCTAACTTAAGAATTTGAGTAAAATGTAGGGGTGAGAGTCTGCTTCCAATACTGAAATGAGATCTGCACTCATTGCAGCTGACTACATCAGTTGTTAATAAAAGGCTCTGACCAAGTTTTGATTATGTCATGACTGCAGTCATTTCATTGATGAATTTTTATGTGCAAAGGGGCCTTTGATGCTTGATGATAAAACAGACCTAGAATGAACAAGAACTGTCTGAATTTATTTTACTGAACAGGAGTGGCTAATGTTGATTAAGATAATGATGAATGCATAATAAATCTGTTCAATTAGTAATAAAATAATCATCACCTGAATAAAAACAAAATAAACTGGAAATCTTCATCATGTCAGGCATCAGTCGAGAGAAATACAGAGTCAGTGTTTCAGATCTATGACATTTTATCACAACTCAAAATGCTAACTCTGTTTCTCGCTCTACAAATTCCACTTGACATACTGAATATTCCTGTCATTTTCTATTACTATATTGTCTACAGCATTTTGCTTTTGTATGAGTCTTCAGTAGGGTTTACTTTGACTATTTGCTTATAAGATATAACCTACATGAAACAGATTACTGTTCAGGCATAAGACCTATGAGAAACAGAGACAAGACTCAAAGTTCAAAATAAGCATTAAGTTCTTTATTAAAATTGAATGATGCAATAACCCTATTGATAATATATCAATAGTCACAAAAGAACTTACAAGGAATAATGCAAACAATCACCTAGCAACTGGTCACTTCCCTGCAAAGCAGTTGACAAAACTGTCCTGCTTAAGCACCAATACAGACTTTGCAATAGAGTCATACAGCATGGAAACAGACCCTTTGGTCCAACTCATCCATGTCAACCAGGAATCCCAAACTGAACTCGTGAAACTTGCTAGTATTTGGTCCATAACCCTCTAATTTTTTTCTATTCCTATACCCGACCAAATTTCTTTTAAATGTTGTAATTGTACCTGCCTCTATCACTTCTTCTGGCAGCTCATTCCACACACACACCACCTTTTGTGTTGAAAAATTGCCACTCAGGTCCCCTTTAAATCTTTCCCCACTCACCTTAAAACTATGGCCTCTAGTTTTGGAAGCCCCCCCTACTGTTTCACCAACAAAATTGTACTGCTCTATTAAATTAAACTACAAGTATCAGGGGCATCTAAATTGATGTTTAAATTATGATATTAGAGACTACTTGGATGATGAATACCTATTTAAACTTCCTTCATTTCATCAGTACTTTCATAAGTGTGGATGCCACATATGCCTTAAATATTGTTCACAGCAAATAACGCAGCAGCTTATTTTTGTGGGCATACACACATTTCAAAACCACAAGTAAATAATCAGACTATTTTAAATTATTGACTTCTTGGTGAATTAAAAACAACATTGTGGGATTAGGTTCTTAAGCAAGAAAGCCAACTTTGAAAGCATAAATCAACATCAGTTTGTCTCCCTTGTGCAGCTTTCAAAACATTTGTTAGTTAAACACATTTTGGCTCCATTATTTATGTACATGAAACTTCACCAAGGTACTAACTGGATATCAAACCAAAGCATTGTATTTTTTTGATAAACATTCTGTAAATATCACACTGGACACATTCAGTCACTGTTCTATGAATACAGAATTCTGTATTTCATTTAAACAATTGATGCTCCCCTCACCCACTCCACAAATCTCAACACATTTCATGTAAGAATATGATTTAAGACTGTCAAATATATTGCAAGGTCTTATATGGCCTACATTTATTGCTAAGAAACTGTGAAGTAAAGTCTGTTGATTATATTGGAATTCAGTATATTTTATTGAATGTATGATTGGTAAAATGTTTTATTTTTGTATCAAACTACATGAACTTCAACATCAAAAAACCCTTCTACTGCAGGTGCATAATTTTCATTTCCTTCCATACGAAGGTTAATAATTGCTTTATATCCATGTCCATAGGGAACTATGTTGACATTTCTGCATTATGTTTGACATTGGAATCTTTATATCAACAGTCAGCAGATGTTCATCCTATTAGTTTGAGCTGAATGTAAACTCAACTTGTAAGGATGAAAATACTAATCCACCACACCACTCATTTGTCTCTAGGATTCAATCCCTATACTTAGGGAGTGATTGCAATATCCATTATCCCTGGATGAAATATTACAATTTGAGCCAACTCCCTACACCCTTTATTTGTTTTCACTGTAAAAGATAGCTTTCATATCAGGCTGACGTACTTTATAAACATAAATGTTTTATATTATGCAATGAATGAGATATGTCATACCTCAGGGAACAGTCTACTCATTTAACATCAGGTTTTATAGTCTACAATGGTTTTACAGTATATACTTATGATCAGTGAGAGACTGGATAATTCATGTAACACTAATTAATAATGTATAATAAGAAAATAAGTAAATTAAGAAGATCAACTCAGCAATATATCATAGCAATTTAAGCAGTATGTTAACTGTTGATGAATCAGAAATCATGTTATTAATTTGAGCATTTTGAAGGTTTTTTAAGTATTCAGTGTTTTTGTCTTGTTAAACTAGGTATTTTTACTTGATCCATTAAGCAATGTTACTACACAGACCCAGAACAGGTAGGACTTGAACCTAGGGTCTCCTGCCTCAGAGGTAGGGCACTACCATTGTGTCACAAGAGCCCCACAGTCCAATCAGACCAGAGTGATTTGGAATATGGTCCACCTAAGTGAATGAAACAAACCATTATTTTCTTTTAATCATGAAGGAGAGAAGAAGCTTCCAAGCACAAAATTCTCAATTTAGCTAAGTTCAAAGGCATAACAGAGCATCTCGCACATGATAGTATTTAACCAGTTTATGATTCATACATCATCTAGCTCTTACACTTCATTAATGCCATGATGAGGCATGTTCAGTTTAGTCTAGGAAACACCATTTCTGCACTGACTGATGTTTAAATCCACAAAGAAGCATATAGAAGACAACTCTGCCCTTCAAACTTGCACCTTCTAAATATTGTGTACCTGCAATTTTCAAATTGAAATATAACCTTGTAATATAAAATTAGCATTGTCTTCAAAAGTTCCAAAATTAGTTATATTTTGAAAGAACATCAGGTCAATCAGAACAGGTGTTCATTGATATGGATTTTTTAAAGGCACACATAAGCATACAAACACACAGACACAAACAGAATAAACCCCTTCAAAGGATCAGTTAAAGAGATATATTTAAAATGACTTAATTTAATATATTTAATAAGATGTATGGATGCATTTTCCAATTAGTGAAGGTAAATTACAAATGCTTATTGATTAAATGATATCTGATTTATTATTGTCACATATATCTAAGTACAGTGAAAATGTTGTTTTGCATGCAATACAGGAAGATCATAACACACAAAGACCATAGGGTGATTGAACAGGGTAAGGAATTGACATTACGTTCCTCTGTATACTATTGTTAGGTAGGTGGAACCATAGCAAATGTCACCTGAAGGTTCAAGTATATATCAACACGATTCTTTATTATTCCAACTTAGTCACCTTATGAAACAATTCCAGTGGAGTTGTGAGACTGAATTGCTCTTTGGATGAACATTGATGGAATGTGGTAAAAGATGGATTATTATATTTCACATTCTTCATACATTTCCAGAGTGGCAGAATCAATATGGATTATGTCAACATTTTCTTTAATTCTGAAAATTGAAGTGAAAAGCTCAATTAGGAGAAGGGTCTAGGCCCGAAACGTCAGCCTTCCTGCTCCTCTGATGCTGCTTGGCCTGCTGTGTTCATCAGCTCTACACCTTGGTATCTTAGTTTAACTATTCCCTGATTTTCCTTGTTTACATGAATCACATTGTCCTTTAGAGGTCCTATTCTGGACCTTAATAATATCTCTGTTGTGTTAGAAAAAAATTCATAAAATTTATATTGCATCTTTAATGACAACAAGATGTACCAGAGTGCTTTAAAACCAACACATTTTAAAGTATAGTGCCTGTTTTAATGCAGGAAATGCAGCAGTTAATTGCACTGAACAAACTCCCATATACAGCAATATGATAGTGACCAGGTAATCTGTTTTTGTGATATTGATTTAGGAATAAATATTGTCTGAACACTAGGAATAATTTCCCTGTTTATATTTTAAATAGTGGAATGGGATCTTTTACATCATCCTGAGATGGACTTTATCTCATGTTTCATTTGAAGAATAGCACCTCTGACTTTGCAACATTTCCTCATTCTGTTAGAGTATCAGCTATAGCTGTAGAGCCTAACGTCCTGGAGTGAGACTTCAACACCTAATCTTTTGATTCAGAGGAAAGCAACCAACTGAGCCAGAGCTGACATTATATTGCACAGCATAATATACAATGCATAATATATGTGAAATTATATGTCAGCACACATTTTTGTTTGCACAACCTGATTCTCTGTAGAGTTTTTTCCAATTAAAAAAATCTTATGACTCTACTTAATAAATCAATCTTGCCTAAACAAAACCCATAGCTGTAATTGTGCAATCTGACTGTCTGTTCCAACCATTCATTTGATATATTCCTGATTTTTTTCACCATTTTTTCCTGGTAACTTAAATTTCAAGTGCCTAACTAACCTTTCAAACAAATAATCTAAAACAATTACATGTATCCATTTGTCTTTTGTGACTTTTCATATATGAATTTAATTTTTTTCTTAATGTCTCAACTTCTCCAAAAAGCCTTGATGTGGACTTGATATGTTTATCCAGAGGATAATTTTGAGCTGAATATGGAGATCACAAACTGCACATGTGGATAGTACACTATTTTGGATAGTGTCTCTCTACTATTCACTCCACAGTAGTGACCCCAATCCTAGTTTGGGAGGATTGTGATAGCTTCTGCTCAACATAACTTCAAAATTACATGAATAACAGCTAGAGGACATGGTTCAAAACCCTGATTCAGGAAAAAAAATGTTTCAGGTGTTTGTTTCAAAGTAAAGCTGTGTAAGATTCCATGCATTAAGTTCAGAAAAAGACAAAATTATGGATTTTGCTCCACTATCCCCCCGATTGGAAGTTATCAGGCAAATGTACAGACCCACGTGATTGGTTTGCAGGTGGGAGAATCCAAGTCACAGTAAAACAATGTTCATTAATGGAGTTTTTACATGTTTTAATGGGTTCCATCCTGCACTTAAATTCTTGTTTGAAACTGCACAGACAATTGAGCTCCATTTTCCCAATGTCCTAGTTGTCTCCTGCAAATCTACCTTCACTGGTCAGTATACATATTGGTATTCCTACAGTTTCGCACTCCATCTGGTTATTCTCATCAGTAACCTCATAAATAGAGCCCAGCCATTTTTTCACCACGTAAACCTGATGCTGAAATAGGGCAGGTCGTGTTGGATGACAACCTTGATGAAATCATTTTTCACAATATATTGTGTGAACTTATGAAAACGCTTAGGTAGGCATTCTTGCTCTTAAATATTGCCTAGTCTACCCCAGATAACTTTGGAAGGGTAAACTAACTCAAAGGTTTGAGTGACAGGTATCTCATACTGCTATGATGCAAGAACACAGGCGGTGTTTACCACTGAAAGGTTGTTGCTATCAAACTGACCCATTTATGTGATGAAATATCTGCCTATCAAACACATGGGTAATGTGGTGTATGAATTTCAGTGCCAGCATGATGGCAGGTATGTAAGCTGGTCATACCAAAATCTGGTGGATTGTATCAAACAGCATATCTCTTTTACTGTTCATGACAGACAAAGTACTGACTGCACCCAACTAGCCTGCACTTGCAAAACTCATAACACACAGTCCAGCATCAGACGTTATTTGATAACTGGACAACATTTAATAAATAATCCTGTATGTATGAAGAATTACACTGAAAACCAATTTATGATTGTCATTTGGGCTTGCTATATAGCATACTTGTATGTACTGGAAGGTACACATATTAATAGATAGGGCTCTAATCTTTGCAACAGAAAGGACATAAACACATTATCCCAGCTTCAATTTAACAAAATTGATTATGGCCATTTCCTGACTCATTTCTGAGAGCAATGCCTTGATCAATTAATGTCAATCTGTCTGGTTTAAAATTTAGACAAAGCTTGGCAGTTAACTGTTAACCAGTTTTAATAGGTGCACTCTTCCTACCCAAGTGTCCATTTGCTACCCAATCAGCACTCTCCTCTCATGCAGTATAAATGTTACTTTTCTCCTTGAATTGGTATTTTTGAAGATAGTGCTGATGGATGCAAGATGATAAGCTTTGACAAAAACCCTTTACAACAATACTCATGTTCTGTACTACTAAATGACTATATGTATACATAATTAATGATTAAAATGTAAGGTTTAAAATTCAACAACACCACACAATTAGAAAGCAAAATGCATGTTAAGAGTATGCTTGAAACCTTTTGCCTAAGTGATGTTTCTTGCTGCAAAAGTGCTTTGCATTAGGCTAATTTGGCCATATAATTGCAACTGAAAGTAGATATAAAGTAACTCTAATGGACACCATTTCAATATAAATCTTCTTATCAAACCACAGCACATACTAAATAAATCATGTCTAGCTTGGAAATCCTGCGCAAATTGAATATACTGCACTTTGGTCCTATAACAATCAACTTTACAATAAAGATAAAAGAAAAATACAGCACCTTCTAAAATTCTGACCTGAAACTCCGCATTTGTTTACTATTATTGCTGATGCCACCCAACCCGCTGGTTGTTTTTAACATATTTCTTTGTTTATTTTTATAATTCATTTCTGGGATGTAGGCATTTATGGCTTGACCAACATTTATCACCATCTGTTCTGAGGAAGGGTCACTGGATCCGAAATGTTAACTCTGATTTTTCTTCGCATTTGTTGCCCATTCTTAGTTGCCTTGTGAAGGCAGTGCTGAACTGCCGTGTTCAACTGTTGCAGTCCACATGCTGTCAGTTGATCCACAATGAGTTCCAGGATTTGCCCTGGCCACACTGAAGGAACAATGACATATTTCCAAGTTAGGATGGTTAGATGGAAGTGATCGTGGGTTTGGAAGATGCTGTCTAGGGAGGCTTGGTAAATTTCTGTTGTGCATCCTAAAGATGATACACCCTGAGGATCAGTAGTGGGATCATATGTTTGTGTATGAAGCAAATTGTTTTGTCCTGGATAGCATCAGGCTTCTTGAGTGATGTTGGGACTGCACTCATCCAGGCAATTTAGGAGTATTCCATCACACTTCTGATTTGTGCCTTGCAGACGATGAACAGGCTTTCGTAAAGCACTTTGGTAAAGTGCTTCATTCCTAGCATCTGACCCTGTTCTTGTAGCCACTCTATTTATATGGTGAGTCCAGTTCAATTTCTGGTCAATGGTAACCCTCAAGATGTTGATAGTGGGGATTCAGCGATAATGATGCCACTGAATGTCAAAGGGTGATGGTTGGATTCTTTATTTGCCAGGTCAATGCCTGGCACTTGTGTGGTGCAAATGTTACTTGCCAGTTATCAGCCAAACCTGGACATTGTCCAGGTCTTGCTGCATTTGAACATGGACGGCTTCAGGATCTGAGGAGTGGGGGATGATGCTGTAGAGCGTGCAATCATCAGAGAACACCCCCAATCCTGACCTTACCATGCAGGAAAGGTTATTGATGAAGCAGCTGAAGATCGTTGGGCCTAGGACATTACCCTGTGGTGCAGCGGTAGTGTCTCTGCCTCTAGACAGGGACAGCTGGATTCAAGACTCCAGATGCCCGTCGTAACATTTCTGAATAGGTTGGTTAAAAATACCTACCCTGAGGAACTCCTGCAGAGACGTTGTGGAGCTGAGATGACTGATCTCCACAACCATCATCCATATGTGCCAGGAATTATTCCACCCAGCAGGGAGATTTCCCTCTAATTGACTCTAATTTTGCTATTTTATAATAGAAATGGAATTGTGCATTGTTAGTATATATTTATTTATGAAAAATACAATTTTTGGTCAAATCTCGGCAGCGTTCAATTAATTGAAATTTGCCGACGTTATTTATGAATCATTCAAACGAGAGAGAACCCTCCCAACAGACTTAATCGGAGAAATTGCTGACGGCTATGTAAATAAGAGGTTAAAAAGCTCAAAAAGATTGTGCCTAAACCCAATTACAAATTGATGTTCAACGAGTTATCTTTGTCTCCGTTTCAGAGTTAGTTGTTGCTAGTTCGGCTCCGGTTCCATCCAACTCTCTTTCTATCGCTACCTGTTAGATTCACCGCTGAATGTGCGCCTCCCCTCAGCTCCTGCTTCATCCTCGGCCAAGTCCCGTTTTATTCGTCGAGATCTAGGTGCCAGGAACAAAATGTTGTTTGCAGCCGGCGGATATTTGCTCAAGGCACCCAAAACGGGTTTCAATAAATGTCGCCATATGTCTGCCTGTTAATGTCATCAAAGCCATATGTGCACTGCTTGTAGAGAGATGTCTACTCTAGTACAAATAAATACTGAATGTGCTGAGATTACCATTTCTGCTGTGTGCAAAACAAACATAAGGAATACTGGAGAAACTCAGCGTCTGTGAGTATCTGTGGAGAGAAAAACAAGTAGTGTTCCGAGTCCAGTATGATTTTTACTTCCGAACATGGGTATGAGTCTGGTTGTTATAAATCACAGCGGATCAGACAGCATCCATAGAGAATACTTTCATCGTCGTTATTTGCAGAAGGAAAAAAACAAAGAACTGCGAATGCTAGACATCTGAAACAAACATAAAGAGAAATTGCTGGAGAAACTCAGCAGGTCTGGCAGCATCTGTGGAGAAAGAAATAGTTAACTTCTTGCGACCCCTCTTCAGAGAAGTGAAAGGACTCGAAACATTAATTATTTTCTCTCCACAGATGATGCCAGACCCGGTGAGTCTCTCCAGCAATTTCTATTTTTGATCGTCATTTAAAACTTTGTTGACTGAAAAAAAGACAAGGTTGAATCAGCTCACACTCAAAGTGATGCCATTGCATGTACAGCACCATAAAACAAAATAATAACCGAAAGAACTGCAGATGCTATAAATCAGAAATGAAAACAGGAATTGCTGGAAAAGCTCAGCAGGTCTTAGCAGCAAGTTTGGAGAGAAATCAGAGTTAACGTTTCGGATCCAGTGACCCTTCCTCAGAACTCTGATTTCTCTCCACAGATGCTGCCAGACCTGCGGAGCTTTTCCAGCAATTTCTGTTTTTATTCCATAAAACAATATTTGCTCATCTCTTAATTAGACAATAATTGGACCACAGTGGCCAAAAAAAGGAGCTGTGAAGTCCCGTGGCTGTTTTATATATATATATATAAATGACTTACACCTTATCATGGCTAAGCTGCAAAACCTACCAACCATCCCTTTCTTTTAAAGGAAACCCTACGGGCATGAATTAAACGTTCGGGTTTCAATGCTTCTGACGCAAGTGTAGTTTTTTTTGTTAAACTGGAGATTGCTTATCGAGCCTGCAGAAATATTTCAGCGATGGAAGGCTGTCTCCTCCCGCCAGCTGCCGCGACCGCGCCTGTGCAGCGTGGACGAGCGCCGGTCAAGCCGCGCTCGCCCTCCCCCCAACCTCGGGTGAGCGGGAGCGCGCCGGGCTCCGCTCATGCCCATTTTAGTCAATGCTTGGCGCCGCAGTCTCTGAAGGGTTTTATTTTGGAGTCTCTCTCTCTCTCTCTCTCTGTCTATCGTGCGCTTCTTGTTTGCCGAGAGTGGCCAACTTCCCCAAGAGTCTGCGAGCGGGACGAGTTTTTCGTGTGAAGGAAAAGTTTCGGTCAGATCCTCCGCCCGTGTCTGTGAGTGAGCGTGCCGGACAATTCCGAGCGCTTTACCGGGCGGGAGAAATTCCCGAAGGAAGTTGAGCGGGAATGAAGGTGGGGAAGGGAGGGGGTGTGGGTTAGTGTGATATTTGTTGTTGCTGGGCCGGCATTATACCGATGAGTTGGAAACGGGAACAGGGAGGGAGTGAATGCTCTGGTAGACCGGCTCCGTTCTTCCAGAGGCACCGGCCGCTCTTACCAATCCCCCGGGTCCGCATCCTGCATCTCGTGCTGAGCTTTTCCAGCAATTTCTGTTCTTGTTTCCTGCATCAGTTGCGACCGGTTTGCAATCGGTTCTGAGGAAGGGTCGCCGGACCCCGAAACATTAACTCTGGTTTCTCTCCACAGATGCTGCCGGACCTGCTGAGCTTTTCCAGCAGTTTCTGGGGTTTGCTTTTGTTGCAATCTGAAACTTGCAGGCGACCATCGGACACAGTTACATTGCAAAGTTGCAATCATTGATGCTTCAGAGCCGTCGTCTCCTTCCTGTTTTGACAACTCCGACTTTCAGACTTTATTGTGTTGAAGATATATTGTTGTTTTTGTTGTCAGAAAGGGACTATGCTCAGAGTTTCAGGGTGGAGTCTACCGGTGCTGTAGCGCACTGTGATGTTTCTGTTCATTTTTCTTTCCCAATAAAAGGCTTTGCACCATGAACGGCACACCAGATGACCCCTGGGTATTCAGCTTCTTCTTGGCGAATACCACCTCCGCTCCTTCGCATTACGGTTTCACCAACGGAATGGAGCCGCTTTCCAATCAGACCGAGAGCTGTGACAATTGGAAAGAAATCCACCATTTAGTCTTTCACGTCGCTAATCTCTGCTTCGCCATCGGGCTGCTTATTCCCACCACCATTAAGATCCACATGGTGCTCCTCCGTGCTATGATGAGTACGGGTAAGTAGCGTCTTGTAGAGAATGGGAGTGGGGTAAGAAAATTGCCGAATACAACTCAACCGCCTTTTTAGTTTGATGTAGTTTGCACAGTAAGATTTAGTCACAGAGTCCTCTAAGTTCAAAGGGGCTGTAATAATGACCGTTCTAAATGAACTGAGCGGATTCTCCCTATTCCCTTTTTAGCTCCAACTTCTTTCGAAATTAAGGATCCCACAGACTAGATAGAATGTGGAATGACTAGATACACTGTGGAAGCAGGCTATTCGGCCTATTCGAGTCCACACCAACCCTCCTAAGAGCATTCCATCCAGACAATCCTACACCCATCCAACCCCTGCATTTTCGAAGGCTCATTCACTTAGCCAGCACACTTTGGGCAATTTAGCATGGGCAATCCACCTAACCTGTAGGAGGAAACCAGAGAATCTGAGAAAACCCACGCTGACACAGAGAGAATGTACAAACTCCACACAGACAGACACCCAAGGGGCAGTGCTAACCACTGAGCCACTTTGCTGTCAAGTCTGAAGCTTGATACTTGTTGGGTGTGAAAATGAAAACTTGCCTCGTTTGGCATAATTGGTTTTTAAAATATTCCAAGGGGTGTAGATGTTGCAAGCAAAGCATTTGTTGCCTGGCCCAAATTGTTTGTGCAGAGTGTCATTTCAGAAGGCATTAATGTCAACATCTGGGATCCCATTTAGTCCAGACCAAGTAAGGATGGTAGATTTCCTTTTCTTAAAAAAAAAAATCCAAAAACAAAACAATGGAAGATGCTGGAAATTTTGAAACAAAAGCAGAAATTGCTGAAGAAACTCAGCAGGTTTGGTAGCACATGTTAACGTTTAGGGTACAGTAACACTTCTTCAGAACTGAAAGTAGCTAGGAAAAGGTGGCATATATGCTGAAGACGGATGAAGAGGAGCGGGGGGGGGGTGCGGATGTTGGTGGAGGAGAACACTATAGGTGGGGATGGAGTCCAGAGAGAGAGCGAGAAAACAGCAGTTAGGCAGACAAAAAGAATGGATGATGGTGAGGCAGGAAGAAAGAGACCTTTCTTCCTAAGGGGACCTTTAGTAGGTGAAAATGGTTTGGCTGCGATGGGAAAGGAAGTCTGAGCTGATTTCAATCAATAAACTCTGTCATCTCTTACAATATACATTTTGGTTTTCCCCTTAAATTGATCCTCCTATGAATTGAGCTGAATGGAAGGAGAAAAGCTTTGCAAAATGTATTTCTTTCCCCTCTGCAACACTAAATGATATTTGTGAATCAGATGGGTTTTTAAATGCCAGTTAATCTTTATATGGTACCATGACTGAGACTAACTTTATCTTGCATATTTATTATTTGTTTTGACTTTATCACTGTCATGTCAGATGGACCAGTGGGCCGAGGAGTGGCAGATGGAGTTTAGTTTACTCAACCGTGAGGTGTTGCATTTAGGTAAGACAAATCAGGACAGGAGTTGTACAGTTAATGGTAAGGCCCTGGGGAATGTTTTCGAACAAAGATACCTAGGGGTGCACGTGCATTGTTCCTTGAAAGTGGAGTCAAAGGTGGGTAACGTGGTCAAGAAGGTGTTTGGCATGTTTGCCTTCATTGATCAATACGTTGAGTATAGGAATTGGGATGTCGAGTCGTGGCTGTACAGGCCATTGGTGAGGCCACTTTCAGAATACTGCATTCAATTCTAGTCTCACTGCTATAGAAAAGATGTCCTTAGACTTGAAAGGATTCAGAAAAGATTTCTAAGAATGTTGCCGAGATTGGAGGTTTTGAGCTATAGGGAGAGGCTCAATAGGCTGGGGTTTTTTATCCCTGGAGCGTCAGAGGCCGAGGGGTGACCTTATAGAGGTTTATAAAGTTATGAGGGTCATGGATAGGTGAAAAACCAAGGTCTTTTCCCTAGGATAGCAGAGTCCAAAACTAGAGGGTTTGGGTTTTAAGGTGAGAGGGGAAAGATATAAAAGGGACCTGAGTGGCAACTTTTTCGCATGCGTGCATGGAACAAGCTGCCAGAGGAAGTGGTGGAGGTGGATACAATTGTGACATTGAAAAGGCATATGAATAGGAAGAGTTTAGAGGGCTGTGGGCCAAATTCTAGCAAATTAGACTAGATTAGTTTAGGATATTTGGTTGGCATGGATGAGTTGGACTGAAGGATCTGTTTCTGTGCTGTATAGCTCTATGAATCTATGTACTGAGATCCGGTGGAAAATATTGTTTTGCATGCTATCCTGGCAAATCCTACCATACATAAGTGCATTGGGGTAACAGAACAGAATGCAGAATGTAGTGTTACAGCTACAGAGAAGGTGCAGAGAGATATCAATTTTAATCATACTATATAACAATTATCTAATAATATGTTAATTGAATGCCTTGATGGAATTTGAACGTGTGTCCCTAGGGCACTAATGTGGGTCTCTGGATTACAAGTCAATTGTCATTATCGGTGTGCAACCACTTCCATTTATAAGAACTATGGCATTGTATTTTTCTAATCAACCAGTTCAGAGATGTTATTACACACCTCTGGAGCAGGTGGGACTTGAACACAGGCATCCCGGCAACTGTACTGCAAGAGGACCTCAAATACGGTATATCATGGGGTACAATGTAGAGTAACAAAGTCCATCCTTCAGATGTTGGCATGCTTAGTATTTGAAGTTCGTGCCAAGGGAGTTGGGGTATCAAATTGTCAGATTAGAAGGATATGTAAGGAATGATGGCTATGGAGAAATGAGAAACCAGGTCTCAGAAGAATGGCAAATGTAGATAACCAGACCCACAGGATAGGGCAGCTGATATGTGGAAACTGGACAAATAGCTGAAGAAATTGCCATAACATGGAAGTTAAAGGAAACTTTAAACACTCTTAATTCTTTTGTCATTATTGCTGTGATGTTAATACCTGTTATTTGTATTCTGATATGCATATGACTGGCCATTCTCAGCATGGTTACTGCCACTCATTCATCTACTATAGAAGTTGAGTCTAAGGAATAATTTGGAGAGTTCACATTGTTTGCTGTTTAACTGCCAACAAATAGAACTTAAGAACTCTGCAAAGCTTTCAATGCAAGCTAAAAACTAATGAAGCATTTTTAAAAATTTTCATCCTCAGATTCAGTCATGTGTACCCCGAGTTTTAGTAATTTTAAACTTCAGCAAATACAGTGGCATCAATAGAAATTTAATGAGGTGCAGTTTCTGTTAAAGCTGTGGTACTAAACAATTTGGGTAGTTTTTAATAGCATGGAAATCTGACAGTGGAATGTGGTTCTATAAGGTCATATCCATGTTTTCCCCTGAATCAAAATTTTAATGTGCTTGGATTTATTCTGTTCACTGACTTGTTATGGTGTATACTGTAGAATGGATTGAACTAGTAAGATGGCATTGACATGCTAAATTCTGCTTCACATGGCCCTATGTACTGTCAACTCACTTTATATGGGATACTCGGTTCCATTTTGTAGTGGAGCCCAGCAATTAGTCCATAATCTTTTTCCTCTGGTATTATCTGACAAAGTGCTGAACAAAATTCCATTCATGTCCACTCACTGCAATAGGTGCCCTTGTTGGTTTATTTAACAGAAAATGCATGCGTTTGCTTCTCCTAGGATTTCAGTTGAGGTGACTGTTGGAGCACCAAAATGTTCAACCCACACATTTCTGCTCGTGCATAGCCCACCAAATTATATGATAAAGCAGTCTCTAGCTATTGCTTTCTTGGATTTTAGTAAGGTTGAAAATTCTGTATAGCAAGATAATTACAGATATATAGTTACAATTTATAGATGGTAATTGAAGCTGGCAAGTTCTGATGATAAAGAAGGGAGTTTAACCTAGTAGTTTATGGTGTAACAAGAACTGCTCAATAGAGCTACTTGCCATTCATCCTCTTATTCAGTCCAACCTGGAAATGTCTGCAGACAATTTTGTCAGTTATTTTAAATGGGTTACTTTGTTAAAATAATAGACAGATTGATTGCCTTTAGAGTTTGTATAATTATATCAGTTGTAGTAATTTATAGCTGTGTAACTCCATATGTTTTGTTCCCGTTAGAAATTTTTCTTGTACTTGGCACCTGTGTAAGAATGTTTCTTTAATAGAAAAGTTCCGGTTGATTAAATTTAATTTTTTTTCTTTCACAGGCTGTGCACTGTTCATTGTGTGGGCAGTGCTTTACCGATGTGCTTTAGACATAATGATCTGGAACTCTCTATTTCTTATTCTCAACATGTTGCATTTCCTTTATCTGTTGTACAAAAGGAGGCCTGTAAGTACAGACCACTCCCTCTGCTATTTGTTTTGCATGATAACACTGTTTTTGTATTCACCTAAAATCCTGATATATGTTATTTTTGGCCATCATGAGTGCATTGCAAGTATGTTAGCAGTGATAATCACACTTCTTAGCTGTTTGCTTTTAATCTTTTAAGTGTAAAGACTTTGCTCAGTACTAAGGTTTTGAGATTGCAGTGAAATGCTGGATGGAGCCAACATCCAGGATAAAATAATGGTAGACCTGACACTTGTTGGAGAAATAGCTGTCTTCTAGTTTGACAATATGTCATGATATGATCAGCTGCCTCTTGTCTAAATGTTTGGATTATTCCTTATCAAGTTGAAGAAGTTGAACCAATTTTTAAAGCACTAATTATCAATAGTTTCTCTTTAAGTTAAATCTTCTTGATATTTTTGAAGGAGCTTTGAAGGCAAAATTCCCTCTTAAAGAATATTTCTTATTTGGAGTACAAAATACAACAATGATAATGGGAGGATTTTACAGTCAATAAACTTTGGGCCAGATTTTACTATGACAGTAATTACTGTGCTGTCAGACAACTGAAACTAGCAATGATGTTGCGAGTTTGGACCTATGCAGAAAACATAAGGAAATTTAAAAGTTGCTGTCACTGAGTCAATGCATCTCTATAGGTTTGCACTGATTGCAGTGTCCATTGCAATTTTTATCTTTGCTGTTAAACCTTTTAAGAAAATTACACCTTGAATGAGGTGTACCTGTTTTTTAATTATGCATTAAATTCATAATTATTGTTGTACACCCTTACTGGCCTGAAAAACTAACCTTTTTTATTTATGGAAAGCTAAATTGCTCCACAAGTATTTTTTTTAAATCTACAATTTTAGAAACAGGAGTTTCTTCTTTTTAGAAGTTGATTTATCTTTGTAGAATCTAAAATAATAACTTATTTTGCTGCCTGAATATTTAATTTAAAAGAGAAGGAGTGTTTTAACCTGTTGATTTGCTATGTGTGTATACAGTATGTTATTTAGATTGGTGGCCTTCATGCTTTCTGACATGGTTGCTGCTGCTGCATCCTACAATCTCTTGACCTTTCCCATTTAAACTTTAATTACAAACTGAAACAGAAATTGCTGGAAAACTCAGCAGGTAGCATCTGTGGAGAGAAAGTAGAGTTAACCCAAAGGGTCACTAGATCTGAAACATTAGCTCTGCTTTCTCTCCACAAATGCTGCCAGACCAGTTGATTTGTTCTGGCAATTTCTGTTCTAGTTTCCAATTTCCAGCACCTGCAGTTCTTTGCATTTTTTAAAGCTCTAATTACATTTGGGAACATGGAAATCCCCATCAATGAGATTGCTAGATCTTTATGGTAGTTTATTTTGATGTCAGTGGCAAGAGTCCTTGCTTTTCTGTTGACCATAAAGTCTGGTCATTGAATTTAAGATGATCTGACTGCACATCATTCAATATCCAGAGTCTTATTCAGAAAGTACTTGCTGCCTTGAAGCAGAGTTATTGATTGGAACTGCAACAGGGTGAAGCTGCATTACTCAAAACAAAACAACTCTTCTCCGGTCACAGGAGAAGTTTTGGAGAAATGGAAGACAACTAATGTGGTACCATTATTCAAGAATGGAAGAAAGGATAAACCAGGAAATTACAGGCCACTCAGTCTAACTTTGGTGGTGGGGAAACTATTGGAAGTAATTCTGAGGGACAGATTAATTTGCATTTGGAGAGGCAGAGAATAATCAAGAACTGTCAGAATAGCTTTGTCAAGAGCAGGTCATGTCCAACCAACTTGAATGAAGTTTTCAAAAAGTTAGCCAGTTTGTAAATTAGGACAGTGCTTTTTGATGTAGTTTATTTGGATTTCAGCAAAGCTCTTCATAAGATGCTGCATGTGAGTCTGATAGCAAAGGTACAAACATATGGGATACAAGGAAATTTGGCAAATTGGGTCCATAATTGACTGAGTGGCAGGAAGTAGTGGGCAGTGGCTGAGGGGTGCTTTTCTGAATGGACATCTGTGCAGTGGGTTCCCACAGGGGCCCTTGCTGTTTGTGGTTTATGTAAATCATTTAGAATCTAGGAGTGTTGATCTGTAAATTTGCAGATGATACAAAAATTGTGGTGTGGTAAATAATGAGACAGATAGCCTTTGAACAGAAGGGTATGGATGAGCTGATCAGATGAGCAGATACATTCTATTTTGTTAAAAAAAGCACACAATTTATAGACAGTCAGTGTGGCATTTTATAAATTCCTACTTTAGAAATAAAACCAGTCTGACTCTAAACCAAAGCACAACAGATTCTAAACAAGGCCTGACACCTAACATGCATTGTCTGACCTAAAATGTCACCTCTTCTTTACACTGAAAATCTTTAGTTCTCTTAGGACAGTGACTTGAAAGGAATTCAGGGATTTATATATACGTATTAATATACGTATTTATATATACGTATTAATCAGTAAAAACCAGCTTCCTCGAGGAGGGGCGTGGGATCAGAAATGCCGATCATTTTCCTCAACCAAGGATTCGCCTCCACTGTGGTTGACCAGGCCCTTAGCCATGTCCAACCCATTTCCCGTACTTTTGCCCTCATCCCTTCCCTTCCCTCTCACGACAGTCATAGTCTCTCCTTGATTCTCACTTTTCACCCCACCAGCGTCCACATCCAAAGGATCATAAGCAGTCATTTCCAGCAGGATGCGACCACCAGACACACAGTCCTCTCCCCTCCCTTGTCAGCATTCCACAGGGACTATTCCTGCCAGGACACCGTGGTCTATATCTCCTCCGCTCCCAACAGTTGCCCACACCCCAGGGACACCTTCTCATGTAATTGCAGAAGGTGCAACATTTGCCTGTTTGCTTGCTCCCTCCTCCCAAGGCTCCAGACACACCACAGTGTTTTATGTGCATTTCACTCAATCTAGTCTGCAGTATTCACTGCTCACAATGTGGTCTCCTTTACACTGGGGAGATGAAACACAAACTGGGTGACTGCTTCGCGAAACACCTATGTTCAACCTTTAATGAGCTTCCAGTTGCCTGCCACTTCAGCACACCAGCCTTTTCCCATGCCAACATGTCTGTCTTGAGCCTTGAATCTCAGCACAAGCTGGAAGAACAGTAATTCATGTGGGACCTTAAGCCTTCAGGACTCAGAATTGAGTTCAATAATTTTAAAGCCTGAACACCACCTTCCATGTCTTTTACCCACCCCCACATCCCCAGTCATGCCATGACTTGGGTAGCTTTAAGCACAGCCAACCTATTCTCACTCTCTTAGTCCTCATTATGAGCCATCAAGCTTTTCTTGTTCCCTGGCTTAATATCAAAAATTCCTTTGCCTCACTTCTCCCACCTCCTCCTCCCCCACCCCATCTCTCCTGTCTGAGCTCCATCTCCATCCCCTGCCCATCATCAAGATAAATACCACTTCTTTCTAGAAGGGTCACTGGATTCAAAGTTACTTCTGTTTCTCTCTTCACAGACCTGCTAAGTTTCTTCATCAATTTGTGTTTCTGTTTCAGACTTCCATCACACTCAGTTCTTTGTTTTATATTAAGTTGGAACTTTGTAAAGCGTCTGTTAGGCTGCAGCTAGAGTGTCCAGTCATGGAATGGGGGTGATGCTAGCTGGGGTAGGGAATTTTGTGCCTCTGTAGGGAAAGTGGCCATTTGGCCCCATGAGCCTGTCCTGACATTCAGGTGTGGGGGTGGGGCCTTGCTGACCTGCAATCAACTCTAAGCACCTTTGAACCTGGTACATGTAATTTTGACCATTCCATGTGGTCAGCTACTATCTTCAGAAGGTTTGGAGTGAGATGTATTGTTGTCCCTTCTTGGAAGTGGGGTAAAGATGTTCTGAAAACAAGGGTCCCATTTACTTCTGTAACTTATAAAAGAATATTTACCACTCAGTGGCATTTGTACAAATATATTTTTCCAATTCACATATGAGCTTTCCTTTTTGTACAATCTGCTTCAGTATTTCTTTTGCCTACCGTTTTTTAAAAAAAAAATTGACCTGCTGGATCTGTCTTGATCAGTCTGAGGTATCTCCAGTTGAATTCACTTATGTTGGTTACTTCTGTACACCCACTGTTGGAGTTGCCAAAGGTATTTTTGTTAAATGGAAGTTTATCACTCACACCCAACAAAAAGGGTTATTCTTCATGCCCTTCTCCATATAACTCAGTAGCTTCAGATAAGAATTTGCTAAACTGTTGAAAGCGGCTGCTAACTGTCAGATTATCCTTTGCTTTGAATGTTCTGGATAATCATTTTCACTGGTCATTCTGGTGTTTACTTACTGCATCTCTGCAACTCTGTTTTTGTACAGTTAAATTAAACATCTGTCATTGCCTTAGATCTCACTAAAGTCCTAATTGAGACCTGGCATCGTACACTTTTTAAATTCAATGATATCAGAATCCTGATAGGAACTGCAAAAGGCCATTTAGTCTTGTGAGCCTGTATTACCATTGACTGAGATCTTGGCACATCTGAGAGTTAACTCCATATGCCTGCCTTTGATAATAGAAATCCAAAAGAAATGAGGCCAATATATTATTAACAGAAATCCTACCAATCTCAAAATTAAAATTGAAAATTGACCAGCATCAACCACAAGATGCAAATACTTCCAAATACCCTTTGTATTTAGAGATGTTTCCTAATTTCACTCCTGAAAGGTTTAGTTCTAATCTGTGACAATCTGTGATCTATTGATCCTTAATCCTGGATTCTGCAACCAGAGGAAATAGTTTCTCTAATTTATCAATTTCCCTCACTATTTGAAAAATTTGATCAAATCACTCTTTAACCTTCTAAATGTCCAGAAATGGAACCCTCATGATTTAACCTATGCAATCCAGGTATTATTCTGGTAAATCTACACAATGTTCCCTTTGAGGCCAATGAGGTGTTGTTCCTAAGGTGTGGTTTGGAACTGCTCAGATACTCCAGAAATTATTTAGACAGGGTTTTGTATAACTGCAATGCATGACGTCTAATCATTCCATTAGCCTTTATTTTTGATTTTCTTTTTGCACCTGCCTGTAGTATATATTAATAATCTGCATATCTGGACCCCAGTATTCTTTTGGCATCCAATGTTCCAATCTGGATGATCTCACCTTTGATTCTATCGAAAATTATTTGGCATGATTTTGTGTACACTTATTTAATCTGCTAGCGTTTCTTTGTTATTTCATGTTTTCGTCCAGGTTCCTTACAATGCTACCTGTGTTTGATTGGCAAACTTGCATGGGCAGCTTTCTATCCCATAATCAAAGTTATTAATATTTATGGTGAACAGTTGAGTTCATGGTACAGATCTCTGTGGGATTCAGTAGTCACATCCAAGTAATTAGAGTGTCTACCTATCCCTACTCTCTTGTCACTTGACTTTTTTTTTAATGCAGAAGTGCTTCCCTCACTGATATCTAACCAGGTCAATTAGTTTCAGATTTAGCTAACAGTCTTTTATGAGAAACTTCATGAAATGCCTCTGAAATTCTTTTTAAATAATATTTGTAGACATTTCCCTGTTTATTAGTCACCTCTTCAAAATAAATCAATCAAATTGGTTAGCCATTTACTAGCCGTTACAAGTCCAAGTTGGCTGACTCTGATCAGGAAAGTTTCAAGATGCTCAGCCATACACTCTTTGATGATAGCCAATGACAACTGATGCTAAGCTAATTGGTCTGGAAATCCACGGTGACCCTCTTTTTAATAGTGAGGAGACATGCAATTTTCCAATCTGAAATCAAGAGAACCTTTGAAGAGGTATGAGCAATGTTCACATCTGTTTTCTCTAAACCCTGGGATGAAAACCAGCTGGTCCTTTCATACATAGCAGGAACTGCAGATGCTGGAGAATCTGAGATAACAAGGTGTAGAGCTGGATGAACACAGCAGGCCAAGCAGCATCAGGGGA